AAGGAAGATAGAAAAATAGATAGGAAACAAGATCAATTCCAACTCACCCTTTACAGGCTTCATGAGGTACAATATAAGGATTCCTTAACAAAATGAGATCAGGAAATGCATAAATAAATACTAATTAGGTGACACAAGATAACTACTACAAATAAATATAACAGAAAATTATAGGAGACAAATGAAATATTCTGTCTCTCTCCAAGGTAAAGTGAACACTATTCAACAAATATGAGGTGTTTTTTTTTTTCTTTGTTTGGATTTTGGGATTTTTTGACTTGGGATCTCACTCTGTTACACAGGCTAAAGTGCACTGACAGGATCATGGTTCACCAGAGCCTCCACCTTCAATCTCCTGGGTTCAGGGAAGCACCTTCAATCTCCTGGGTTCTGCCTTAGCCTCCTGAGTAGCTGGGGCTACAGGAACACCAACATGTCCAGCTAATTTTTTAAAAATTGTTTTTGTACAGATGAGGTCTTACTATGTTGCCCAGGTTGGTTTTGAACACATGGGTTCAAGCAATCTTCCTCTGAGCCTCTGTGCCTGGTTGAGATTGTGTTTTAATAATTATGGCCGGGCTCAGTGGCTCAGCCTGTAATCCCACACTTTGGGAGGCTGAGGTGAGTGGATTGCCTGAGCCCGCGGGTTCGAGACCCGCCTGGGCAACTTGGCGGGACCTCATCTCTACAATAAATCAAAAAATTAGCCGGGCGTGGTAGCGCACGCCTATAGTTCCAGCTACTTGGAAGGCTGAGGTAGAACGATTGCTGAAGCCCAGCACGTCGAGGCTGTGGTGACTGGGAGCGGCCACTGCACTCCAGTCTGGGTGACAGAGTGAGACTCCAACTCAAAAAAAAAAAAACTATCTGAAAATTTACGAATCATCCTTTAAGTCCTAGAAACTATGTACAGTGACTAAAAGGACAGCAATTTAACTGCCAGCATTTCTGTTCTGCCCACTTTAGGCTTCAGTCACTGTCAAATAAAGGCAGTAGTTGATGTCAAGACCAGTTCTGATTCATTCAACACATGAGTTCTTCTTAGGCACAAAACACTATTCAAACATGGTCCTGGATAAAAACATAAATAATACCCAGCCCTTACCCTCAAGGATCTTACAACTTGGCAAGGGAAATAAGACATGCACACAGATGACTGCAATAAAAGGAAGATAATGATTGCTGCCAGATGTTTGGGGAGAACAAGTAGAGCAAATAGAGAACACAGAATAAGGCAACATTCAACAGTCAGCCAAGAAATATTTATTGAGCAATCACCAGTTGGGAAATGAAATAGAAGTATAGAGCATGAACTAAGATGTGTGCAGGTGAAAAATCAAATGATTTTACTTGTTAGCCAATTCTCTGACTATTTTTGTTACCAAGTTCCTAATAAATATCCTGAAATTAAAAATAAAATAAGAATGTACTAGTCTCTATAAAAGACATACATTTGGGAGATACTGATGCTTAGATACTGGGATCACAGTATGCGTATTCCCAAGTTTGCCTTTCTATTACTTTATTTGCTGCTTCTGCTCCTTCCAAATCAGCTGATGCTACTTTAACAGGATATCTATTTCAGCTATTGCACTCTTTTTGATCTGGTGCATTAGAACAGGTAAATTAGAATAGAGTTCATTTGGCTTCAAACAATAGAAAGAAAATATCATACAACTGAAAAAGTGTAGAGGCAATCTTTCAACCATTCCTGGATCCAGAAGCACAATTTTAACCAAGCCCATCAATCTCTCCCTCTCTCCCTCTCCCTCCCCCCCCTCTTCTTCTTCTTCTTCTTGTCCCCTCTCTCTCTCAACTTCGGAGTTCAAATAATTCCCTGTTCCCATGGAAGCCCCTGACACAGCTTCAGGTTTATATCCTCATAGCTTCAGAACTTGCAGGAAAGAATGGGGCTATCATGGCAGAAGACCGTGCAAGGTATGCATTTATGTAGCAGGGCACTAAATCTAAAGGGGATTGACGTGCACATTGTACCCAGGGCAGATCTGTGTATTAATTACAGCGCTGTTTTCTGGAAGGTGACAGTAAAAGAGTTTGTTCTTACCAAGTCGGAATATAGTAACAGTTTTCCAAAAGAGATACATCATGTCTTTTGAGGAAGGTGGCTATTTTTATCTCAGTTACACAGAGACTGTCTATGTGATGGTGGTAACACTCTGTCTATGCCTTATTTGCCCCAGCAAAAGTCCAGCGATTTGCCCTAAATGGTTCTGGTTGGACTCTCTGCTTATCTTTGACCTTGGCACTATAGCCAGAAGCGTCTGATGTTCTGATTAACCAGACCTGAGTTATAGAAAATGGGATCAGTTTTTCTCAAGACATAAACATTAAAATGTGGAAGAGAGGCATATCTAAAACAAACAAGCAAGCAAACAAAAACTGATGGAATGTCCCTGGAAAGAGGAGGAATAGATGCTTAGCAAGACAAATAATTGTCCTTTACCAGGAAATGTTTGTAGCATTCTTTGGATATTCCCAAACTTGGCTCTTACACATAAGACAACAGAAAATATTGGCCTAAAAAGAGCACCATGGCCAAAGAAACATGACCTATTTTAACAGATGATTTGGGAGTAAAAAGATAACTTGGAAAGCATCCAACTCAATATCATCATCTTCCAGTTGGGGAAACTAAAACCCAGACAGGAACAGAAGTGCACAAGACACACAAGTATTAGGTGACAGATGCAACCAACTACCTATCTTTGACTATAATGATAGTTTTCTTTTCTTTTTTTTTTTTTTCTTCTTTTGAGTTGGAGTCTCACTCTGTCGCCCAGACTGGAGGGCAGTGGCCGTTGCCGGCCACTGCAGCCTCGACCTGCTGGGCTCCGGCGATCATTCCGCCTCAGCCTTCCGAGTAGCCGGAATTACAGGCGCGCGCGCTACCACGCCCGGCTCATTTTGATGTTATTGTAGAGATGAGGTCTCGCCAAGTTGCCCAGGCGGGTCTCGAACCCGCGGGCTCAGTTAATCCACTCACCTCAGCCTCCCAAAGGCGCGGGATTTCAACAACAACAATAACAAAAAGGGTAATCTCATTTCTGGTTTTCTCTCCACCCTTAAATCTATACAATCTGGTTTTGCTGCTCTCCAGCGAAGAGCCTCAGCAAGAGTTGGTTTAACCTCCTTGAGTCCACTCCTGTTCTCAAGGAATGGAGCCACTTGTTGCTTTAATGAACCAAATGTGGGCTGGGTCTGAGAGGGGGAGGCACCTTTCATAAAGAGGTTCTTAAATGCACCTGTTCTGGCATCCTGACTTTGTCCCCAAATCTTCAGCCAGAGACAGAGAAAAGCAGCCTCAGTCTATGGCGAGGCTTCTGACCGCCCTTCTTTCTTCCTCCTGCCATCACCTCTTTCCTGCTGTTTCCTAACTGCAAAAACTCTGGGCAGTTCAGAAGCATCTCTGGAAATAGGTAGGAGGGAGCCTTACACTTGTCAGTACTAGAGAGGAAAGTGCCCTCTGCAGAGTTTTCAGTTCCATTCCTTGCTTGGAAGAAAAGGGCTAAGTCTGAGGTTGATGCCACAGACTTGCTGAGAACCGAGGTCAGTTCGTCGGGCTCTGGCCCTAGTAACCCCTGACGACCAAGGATGCACTTCCGTCCCTAAGGTTTCCTCTTGATTTCTGCTTCCCTACAGACTAGCCCAGCGCCTGGCCGGGAGACCTCTCTGGGTAAAGAATCTTTAAGTCGTGAATCAGAATTAGTAAAAACTAGCACAGGCGGATGAGCAGAGACTGGGGTCTCCTCGAGCCTCTCCTTCACTGGCTTCTCTGCCTCCCGACGCCCTCGCTTTCTCCCAGAGCCGAGCGCCTAAGCTACGGACCTAGGGTTTGGGAGCAGTCAGCACCCCACTTCCTCGCCCTATACCGGGGCTGATGACACTATACCCAGAACGTGGGTGTGTAGGTGCAGGCGAGCAAGAGACTTCCCCAGTGAGTTGAGGGTAAGGGCTCAGCTCTCGCCTGCGACCCGCAATCCCCAGATTCCCTGGAGACCGCGAAACTCCCATTCCGAGGAAACCTCTCCCCTCCCCAGCCGCCCACCCATTCCCCCCCCCTTACCTCAGCACGCAGCCCCTCCCTGCGTGATGATGCAAACCAGTGGGGAGGGCGGGCGCCGGGAAGGGTGGGGAGAGGAGAGCCAGCGAGGGAGGGAGCGAGTGGGAGGAGGAGAGGGAGCCGAACGACCATTTAAAGCGATAGCAATCCCTGCCCTCTCCCCAGTGCTGGGCTGTCGGAGAGCGCGAGCGGCAAGCCGGCGAGCGCGAGCGCGGCGCGCCGGCCCGGGAACTCGAAAGCGCGAGGCGCCCCAGGCTGGCGGGCGCCGCGGGACCCCCCACCCTCTCCGGCCGCCCCTCTCCGGGCGCCCCCGCCCTCCGTGCCTGCAGGAGCCCCTGGGCTTCCCCGAAGGAGCTCACCCCGAGGGACCCGGACCTCAGCGAGCCCGCCGCCGTCCCCTCCGGCGCCGCCGCCGCCACCGCTTTCGCCGGACTTCTCCGGTCTGACTGGAAAAACTGCTCTTAATTCTGATTTTGATGAGTCCTCCTGCTAATGAAAACTTTTGTCTAGTCCTACCACGGCTATCAAAGCTGTTTTCTCTACCCACCTTCATCATAATAGTATTAATATTTGGGTGATGACCGACAGTGGCTCATGCCTGTAATTCCAGCACTTTGGGAGACTGAGGAGGGAGGATCACTTGAGCCCCGGAATTTGAGACCTGCCTAGGCAACAAAGGGAGAACTCATCTGTACAAAAAAATAAAATAGAGATTTTAGCCAGGCATAATGGCATGTGCCTGTAGTTCAAGCTATGCGGGAGGCTGAGGTGGGAGGATCACTCGAGCCTAGGAGGTCAAGGATATGTTTGAACTGTGATGGTACCACTGCCCTCCAGCTTGGGCAGCAGAGTGAGAACCCAACTCAAAAAAAAAAAAAAAAACGGGAGTGATG